TGTGTGTGTGTGTGTGTGTGTGTGTGTGTGTGTGTGTGTGTGTGTGTGTGTGTGTGTGCACACGCAGCTATGGAAGCATCAGCATGAAAACTCATTATTGTCAGCTCCACTGTTCGAAACAATGCCAGCCTCCTGTCTGTGAGCATCGTTGGAAGGTGCCACTGTAAAAGCGTCGAAGCTATCTGTTGATATCTTTGCAATTATGTCTCCATCTCTGCTCCTGTCTGCCCCCCAGCACCACCTCTCTTTTCCCATCAGCCCCTCCTCTCAGCGCAGCCCTCAGTCAGATGAAAGGCCGGCTAAGCTGCGGAGGTCGTGCGGAGCGGGGCGGCTCCGGCGGGCCCCCGGTCGCTGCGTGTCCTCTAATCCCACACCGTTTACCGGCTGCATGGCACGACATCCGTTAATCAGCGGCTCACATCGCCCATCGCTCAGCAACCGGCGCCGTCCCACTGCTTGCACCGACACGCCCTTCCACCCCCTTTTTTTGTCCTTCCAACCTGTTTTTATTACATTTTCCACTTTCTGTTGGCTTTTTCAGTTTCAGGTCAAACGTTTGTATGTTTCAGTGTGTTTCCTGGTCTGTCAGTCCGTTTGTTCTCCTTCAAAGCTGCAGAAAGAACAAACGTGTTTGGTGAAGATGCAAGAAGAAAGACAGGAGCACTGATGCTTTTAAACAATGAAAAGGGAAGTCAAACAGACTGGGAGGACGAATGTTCAAACACAGATTCCTAAACTCAAAGCACATCTGGTAAATTTCAGAGTGAATCGAGCATCATTGGGAACTAATGAGCGTGACTTTGTCCTTAAAGTAGTCTCATTAGAGGACGGCTAAATCCTTGTTGAGTCAATTAAAGCTCAACGACATGATGAGTAAAAAAATATAGCGCCGTACAAAGCCTCGCCGAGGAATTCTTACAAACACTACGGGGAAATTCTAGTGCTCTTTTCAACGTACTGCTGCAGTTTTAGTTCTGGGACAAAAATGCTTTTAAGGGCTTAAAGAAAAAAAACTCTTCTTCCAAGGAATAATGGCAGTAAATTTGGTCAATTTCTAAATGATATTTTTTTGATTCACTCTGTTTTTACCATCGTGAGGAAAGTTTTCAGTCGTCTGTGAGAGCAGGAAACACGTTCATCCAAACCTTAGCTTCTCCTCTCTGGAACAGCACTTTGACCCCTGCTGTGATCGGACACCTCCTGTCACTTTATGACATCACAGCAGGGATCAGAACTCGGTGTTATTTTTACAAATGAAAAGGTTCAATGGTTTGATTCAGTTGTTCTCGACCGGTCTGCTGTGGAGCTGCAGCAGCCACAAGTCATCATGGTAACTACACCAATACTACAAAATATTGTATTATATTAAGTATTATAAAGTATCACTGCTGACACCAGTTCTTATGTGGAGGTCTGGATCATCTGCAGAACACTGGAGGTCCACAGGGACTGTGGGGTGAATGTCTACGACAAGCTAATAAAGGTATGGAGAAAAAGGCTTATATTTCTCCAAAACGTCCCCGAAGAAACATTTTTAAAGAGTTTGTGTTTTTTCTCTTTATTTATCGGACGTGAATCAGAAGAAGTGGCTAACTTTGTCCTGATCCACTTCAGCTGTGAAGGCTTAAGATAATTTACTAAGAAACTGAGGAGTAACTTGAAGTCTGACCTTGATCTGATCCTAGTTTAAAACCACTCTGTTATAAAGTCACCCAAACAAAAACTAAACCAAACAAAACAAACATAATACAGTTAAATTCAACAGTAGTGATGAAGACTCTTGTCTTTCTGTAGGAGCCATGTTTGGGAAAGAAACATTTCACCCTCTGAAGGTTCACTAAAACCAACAAAGAAAATGAAAATTTAATATGTAAAAGAAAACAAAGGTTAAACACCATCAGTCTCTTATCTACATCTGTCAGGTGCAACTTTGTTTCAAAACTCACACAAAAACCATATTTGTTCTCTGATTTTTTTCTGCTGCAGCAGCACAAACTTTATATAATGAATTATAAGAACAGTAATCATGTTCTGACTAATATCAGCTCATTATTAATCATCCATCCAGAATATATGTGTTCAGCATGAATAATAACTGCAGTATTAGAATTCACCAACTCTTAAAAACGAACATTAGCTTCAACAATTCATCAAATTATTAATCAATGAACAAAACAGTTAAACACGAAATAGAAGATGCAACATCCGTACGGTAAAATCTCATCCTTTTAATCAAAACAAAGCTCCCATGAACCCGTCTACATGCTGCACCTGATCACGCTGATTTTAATTGGACAAAATGAGGATGAACTTTAATCTAAATGGCTCTGAGGAAAATATTTGCATTAATTTTGTGTTTTAACATGTGAATTATGTCTGTGGGACAAAATCTGTATCACAAAGACAAACAAAACCTGGTTTTCAATCAACTGGAGCTGTATGCTGATAAATTTAACAAGGCTTGAATAACAAAGTCTGCATTAAGACATCTGTATTATGATGTCTCCATCTTCTTCTGCTTATCCATAGTCAGGTCACATAGGCAACAGGTCCAGGAGAGAAACCCAGACACCCCTCTCCCCAGCTCGTCCTGGGGGACCCTGAGGTGTTCCCAGGCCAGACAGGATACATAATCCCTCCATCGAGTCCTGGGTCTTCCCTGGGGCCTCCTACCAATGGGACATGCCAGGAACACATCTAGCATTGTAATCAGACGCCCGAATCACCTCATCTGACTCCTTTTGATGTGGAAGAGCAGTGGCTCTACTCAGAGCTCCCCCCGGGATGACGGAGCTCCTCCACTATCTCTAAGGCTGAGCCCGGCCACTCTACGAAGGAAGCTCATTTCAGGTCCATTTCGATGAGGTTTGGAACATAGACAGACCAGTAAATTGAGAGCTTTGCCTTTCAACTTAGCTCTTACTTCACCACGACTGACCAAAGCAATGCCCTCATTACTGAGGATGAGGACCCAATCCGTCGATCCATCTCCTGCTCTATCCTTCTATCACTTGTGAACAAGGCACCCAGATACTTAAACTCCTCCACTTGAGGCAGAGACACTCCTCCAACCCACAGGGGGCATTCAACTCTTTTTCTGTCAAGAACCATGGCCTCAGACTTAGAGGAACTGACCTTCATCCCAACCACTTCACACTCAGCTGCAAACTGCCTTAGTGCACACTGAAGGTCTTGGTCTGAAGACGCCAACAGAACCACATCATCTGCATACAGCAGACATGAGACCCTGTGGCTCCCAAACCAGACATCCTCCTCTCCACAACTATGCCTTGAGATCCTGTACATAAACACTACAAACAGGATCGAAGACAAGGGACAGCCCTGGTGGAGTCAAACACGCACTGAGAACAAGCTCGACTTTGTGCCAAGAATGCAAACACAGCTCCTGCTTTGGTTCTCCAGGGACTGCATCCCTTTGAATAACAACCCAGACACCCCATACTCCGTCAGCACCCCCCACAGAATGCCTCGAGGAACACAGTCATGTCTTCTCCAAGTCTACAAAACACATGTAGACTGGAGAGGCAAACTCCCATGGCCCACTTAGCAATTCTGCAAGGGTAAAGATCTGGTCCACTGTTCCATGACCAGGACAAAAGCCACACTGCTACTCCTGAATCCTAGGTTCGACAATCGATCAAAGCTTCCCGTCCAACACCATGGAGTAAACTTTCCAAGGAAGGGCAAGTAGTGTGATCCCACGATAGTTCGAACGAACTCTCCGGTCCCCTTTTTAAAAAATGGGAACCACCATCCTGGTCTGCCACTCCACAGGAGTTGTCCCAGTCCTCCATGCGATGTTGAAGAGACATGTCAACCATGACAGCCCCACAACATCCAGAGCCTTCAGCATCTCTGGGTGACTCTCATCCACCCCTGGTGCCATGCCATCAAGGAGCTTTTTGACTGCCTTGGTGACCTCTGTCATGGTAATGGACTCGTCTTCCCCCGAGTCTTCAGACTCTGCCTCCTCAAAGGTGGACATGGAGAGTGGATTCAGGAGATCCTCAAAGTGTTCCTTCCACTGCCCAATGATATCCTCAGTCCTGGTCAGCAGTTCCCCATCCAAACCAAGTACAGCCTAGGACAGAGAACACTTTCCTTTTCTGATTCGCTGAAAGGTTTGCCAGAACCTCCTTGAGGCCATTCAAAAGTCTTTCTCCATGGCCTCCCCAAATTCCTCCTAAGCCTGAGTTTTTTGCATCTACAACCACTGAAGATGCAACCCTCTTTTCCACCCTGTACCTGTCAGCTGCTTCAGGAGTCCTCTGGGAAAGCAAAGCCTGGAAGGCCTCCTTCCTCAGCCTGATGGCCTCCATCAATGCTGGTGTCAACACCAGCAGTGACAGCACCAGTGACCTTCAGGCCACAGCCCTTGGAAGCCGCATCTGAAATGGAGGCCCTGAACATAGACCATTCAGATCCCATGTCCTGACCTTCCCCAGGACACGTGAAAAACTGTCCCGGAGTGGGGAGTTGAAGATCTAAAGGACAGGGGACTCCACCAAACGTTCCCAGTTCACCCTCACTATATGTTTGGGTTAACCAGGTCTGTGCAGCAGGCCCTCCCACCACCAGGTCCAACTCACCACCAGCTGGTGATCAGTTGACAGCTCTGCCCCCCCTTACGCTCGAGTGTCCAAGACATAGGACCACAGTTCCAACCACATGATTACAAAATCAATCATCAGCCTTTGGCTGAAGGGGGTCTGGTACCAAGTACACTTATGGACCACCCTATGCTCAAACATGGTGTTTGTTATGGACAACCCATGCTTGGCACAGAAGTCTAATAACAGAACACCGTTCAGGTTCAAACCAGGCTGTTCCTCCCAATCAGCCCCTTCCAGATAACTCCATCATTGCCCACATGAGCATTGAAGTCACCCAGCAGAACAAGGGAGTCTCCAGATGGCACCCCTTCCAGGACACTATCCAAAGACTCCAAAAAGGCTGGGTAATCTGAACTGATGTTTGGTGCATGAGCACAAACAACAGTCAGAATTTTCCCTCCTGCAGCACGAAGCAACAGAGTCATACAGCCGAGGGCTTGTGAGTATCCCAACACCCGCCCATCGCCTCTCTCCATGGGCAACTCCAGAGTAGGAGAGAGTCCAGCCCTTCTCCAGGAGTTGGGTTCCAGAGCCCGAGCTGTGAGTAGAGGTGTGCCCAACTATATCTAACTGGTAATGCTCAACTTCACCCACAAGCTCTGGCTCCTTAACCATGAGTGAGGTTATGTTCCATGACCCTAGAGCCTGTCTTTGCTGCCAGGAATCAGCACGGCCAGGGACCCCACTTTGCCTGCTGCCCAGCATGCATCGCACCCAACCTTGATGGTCCTCCTAGTGGGTGGTGGGTCCACATGGAGGTGGTCTCCTGTAGTCCTTTTGGGCTTCGCCCGGCTGAGCCCCAGGAGCCAAAGCTCAAATACCAGGCGCTCATCAGTAAGCTCCCCCCCCCAGGCCTGGCCCTGGGGATGTGCCCCGGTTTCCCTATTCCTGGCAAGGTTTCCTGATGTGGTAGGTGTTTCATCAAGTGTTCTGAATTATGCATTAGGATGTCTGCATTGGACTATCTGCATTAGGATGTCTATATTAAAACATCTGCATTCTCCTCTGTGAGGTATGGGGATTCAATTCTGATGCTATTTAGTCACATGTCGAAGTGTCTCTGGAAGAGACAATGAATCCCCACTACCTCTGATGTGGGTCCCATCGCGGATGATCTAAAGAACTGGTTAGTCTACGTAGAATGAGTTAGATTAATTTTGTAGTGAGATCTAATAGAGTGCTGTGTGAATGGGTAAATGAGGACACAGACTGCAGTGTAAAACACTTTGAGTACCCTGCATGGATGGAAAGGCGATATGTAAGTAACCATTTTACCATTTAGATGGTAATGCATGAACTATTGAAAAAGATGATTTGTGTCTGGTTGTTGGTTTACAATCCATGAATAATTTATTTTCCTTTCTGTGTGGTTCCCCTGGTTTTATGACTCCTGTTAGGTCGACTCATTCTTCTCAACATTTAAATTTCTATTAATACTCGACTTTATTTTGTATTTATTAATTAGCAGTATTAAATGTGTGCGCTTTAAAGGATAAAAATATGAACAAAATGTAGATTGTCCTGAAGGATAGAATGCCAACATTTTGTTTGATCTAACAGGAAACGTAATAAAAAAAGCCATTATAAATTTGAAATAGTTATGATATTCTGTGGAATTACTTTGACCTTGTTTTATTCTGTGGTCCTCCTGTGTTTGTGTGCTTATTGAGAGGTTAGGACGGGACTGTCTGCAGGGATATCCTGTGTGTTACACTGACATTTCCTTTCCAGGTCACCACAGCAGAAGAAAAGCTCTGGAGAAAAGGTGCAACCACGTCGCTGCCATGGTGACACAGTCACGAGAGAGAAAGAGAGAGACAGTGAGAGAGAGAGAGAGAGAGAGAGAGAGAGAGAGAGAGAGAGAGAGAGAGAGAGAGAGAGAGAGAGAGAGAGAGAGAGGGGTCGCAGGGTTCAAGGTGACACAACATGCCATCATTTCTGTGGTCCGACTCACCGGATCATTAAAACAGAATTTAAATGACCTTTATTAAAATCCTGACCTGCAGAAAGATGCCACTGCCAGTAACGTTACGTTTCAATCAAATGAAACTTTATAATAACCTTAAATCAGTTTTGCTGCTGATCTTCAGACTGATTTAGCAGCAGGATTTGGGTTTTTGAGATCCTGAAGGTGTAAACCAGTTCTTCTCTGGCAGGAAGCTTCTGTTAAACTTTGGGGTGCACCAAGTGAAGTTTTCTGTCTGATCTCTGATCCTGGATCTTCAAATAGTCTGACCTATTTGTTTTTCTCAAACTTTTTTTTAAAGATTTGGAGCTAACTGGCTTGAAAATAACAGAAACGTCTAAACATCTTGATTTTTGTTGTTTCAGCTCAGAGCAAACAGGCTTTGTTCTGAAGTGATTTAATAAGTAAAGTGCTTTAGGCCAGTGTGAACGCTCACCTTTCCAATAACAGGGATGTCCACAGACCCCCAGGTATCGGCCCCCCAGGGGACCATCCCTGATGCTAAATCTGCCGTCATGATTCCAAGAACTGTCAGGAGAAAACAGGGTTAGAATGTGAGCGGTGTTTGAACCGAGCAGCTTCGGCTGGGCTCACCCATTCCAAGGACGATCTTAGAGATGTGAACGCTGGAGAAGTGCACGAGGAGGAAGAAGAAGTTGATGATGAAGAAGACGAGGCACAGAATCACACAAACCCACTCCTGGAGCCCCTTACCTGCAGGAAAAAAAATCCAGATGAGACTGCTGGAGAGGAAGAGGAGAAGTGATGAAGACTGTCAGAAGTCAGGTAATGAACTGGGTCAGGTCCCAGAGACCAGCAGGAGGACAAACCAGTCCTTCCTGGAGGTCAAAGGACCATCCAGCCTCCCCAGCAGAGTGTGTGTCCACAGTGTTAATATGTAATCATTCAGATAAAGACAAGTGTTCTCAAGGCGGGGGGGTCACGACCTCTCCTTTGTGAAGCACCAACGGCACACAGAGTCCGCTTCAGGTGGGAGGCCAGTCTCTGCAGGACCGCTGAGGCCAGACAGGTCAGAACTGAAGGTCCAAAAGAAGAAAAACCTGGGTTAGATGGGGTCCAGAGTCTGCAGTCGAAGCAGGGGGTTGAGGTAGTAAATGATTGAAAACGCCCTGAAGGACGAACTCACAGCTGATTTATCCAAACGTCACTACAGAGTTTCTGTTTGCTTCTTATTTTCTGACTCAACACAAACCAGAAACATTTGACAGATTTTCAGAAAAGATGAAACCCCTCCGAGTTTTTTCTCCTGATCTTTTTGTCTCCAACATTCTAATGTCGTTAAAACATTCATGTCTTCAGATCCAGATGTATCTCGCAGCATTAGCAGCCTATGAGAAATTCATGAGACTTTTTTAATAAAGCACCGGGGCTGTGGATGTTAGTGCCTATAGACGGTGGCACCATGAATATACCATCAGCTCTTCACATTGTGTGGACTCAGGAGTCCAGACGGTTTTTAAAATATGGGATCATGGATATTTTACCACTCATCAAACGTGACCTTTTACCCCGTTAATAAAGACTGGATTAAAGCTGAGAATTCACTCAGGACTGGACAGAAGTTCTCATATTTCACAAGTTTAAATATAGACTTTAAAACTCCATCCATGATCTGTACCCACTTCTTCCTTTCAGGGTCACCGGTGCCCATAGAGGGGCGGGGTCCACCCTGGACAGGTCTCCAGTCCATCACAGAGACACATAGAGACAAACGAGACAAACAACCATTCACTCTCTCACTCACACCCAGGGACATCCATCCATCCATCCATCCATTTTCTGTACACGCTTCTTCCTTTTCAGGGTTGCGTGGGTCACTGGTGCCCATAGAGGGGCGGGGTCCACCCTGGACAGGTCTCCAGTCCATCACAGAGACACACATAGAGACAAACGAGACAAACAACCATTCACTCTCTCACTCACACCTAGGGACAATTTAGAGTAATCAATTAACCTAACAGTCATGTTTTGGTCTGTGGGAGGAAGCCGGAGTACCTGGAGAAAACCCACGCATGCACGGAGAGAACATGCAAACTCTACCCAGAAAGGTCCCTGGACAGGGATTTGATCCAACAACCTTCTTGCTGAAAAATAAATAAATAAATAAATAACACAAAGGTGGCAGTCAGTGTATAAGACACTAGTCTGGTCTAAAATGTAATAAAAACAACACAGACACATTGTGACAAGTCTAGAGGAGACAACTTTTTATGCAAGCTATATAAAAATAAATGTACGTCTACCTTAGTTTGACTTCTGACACTGAGAGGAGGCCAGGGTCTCATGGGTGGGCAGTATGAGGTGGTTGAGGTGTCAGCAGGTCTCCAGATCATCATCAGTGGATCTGTTCATGGACTTGATGATTTTCATGTGAGAGAAAGCTGACTCCAGAACTCTCCATCCATGTGACTTGTTGCTCTGGAWTTGATCCTAATGTCATTTTACAGAGTCAAAACCTCATTTTCAACACCGGAGCAGTCCAGCTGAGACATGGACACGAATTTGGACACATCCATCCATCCTGGTGGACAACTGCACGTCTTTATAGCAGCCACAATCCCACTTTTATTTTTAAAATCACAGAAAAGCACGTCTGCAGCATCAAACGCTTCTTTCATAACTTCTTCATCACTGAAAGACGTGTGTTGGGTCAGGACGGGGCTGCTTTAGCAGACTTACCTTAGAAGGAGAAATTCGCCTTGTAGCGTCGGTGCATTGTTTTGAAAGAAAAGCCGTTCCATGTTATCCTTTTTTGGACAAGCCAAGGTAGCGCTCGAATTACATGAGAGTACTCTTCCCACTCCAGGTGAAAATAATACGTTTTTATTTGCTTGTCAGCTGTCTTTCACTCATTTTTTCCACCTCGCTGCCATGTGACCCTAATCCCGCGAGATCATGTTCAGAGTGCTGTTTCACAGCACCCAAAACTCGCGAGACTGGAGCGCGTTCAAGAATGCAATGTTAAACAAACGTTGCAAAGAGTGCGTTTAAGGCTACAATGTTAAACAATGTTGCGTTCTACAAGCTCTGCGATCCATTGCTCTGCAATCGACTGTTAAAAGGCTAAAGAGCTACCGGTCGATCGCGATTGACTGTTTGGCCTGGCCTGACCTGTAAGGTTCAAACTGTGCATGTGTGCAAACTGTGCATGTGTTCAAACTGTGCATGTGTTCAAACTGTGCATGTGTGCAAACTGTGCATGTGTGCAAACTGTGCATGTGTTCAAACTGTGCATGTGTTCAAACTGTGCATGTGTGCAAACTGTGCATGTGTTCAAACTGTGCATGTGTTCAATTCAAAAACCCAAACCTCTATAAACACATGAATCTGATGAATGCAGGTGAAGGACACCACATTTAGTTTGCTTGTTTTATGTGACACTATTGTCTCCAGTCTGCCCCAAGGTACACACACACACACACACACACACACACACACACACACA